GAGAGAGAGAGAGAGAGAGAGAGAGAGAGAGAGAGAGAGAGAGATTAACATGGATGTCGGGTAAGGGATTGAACGTCATCGTCTGTGGGGAACAGCAGGATGACAACGGACAGAGTGGGAAAATCCGACACGACGAATTTTAAGTCGAAGAGTGGCAACGTCAACCTGAGTTCCGGAGAGGATTAACCGTAACGGGGACAGTGTGTAAGACAAACGAGCGGAGGGGTTAGGTGGGGGCGGTGATAGTCTGACTCAGCCATCCGGTCCGCGATGCCACATTGGATCATCCACCGCCCCCCCCCCCAACTCCCCCCTTGCCCTCCCCCACCTCCCCACCCCCCTTCCCCAGTCTTTCCAACCCCCGCTGGAGCGGAGCCGCATGTTCTGATATGCTCCCGATCTGTTGTAGTATGAGGATGACGTCATCACTCTTTGTCTGTCAATCCTTGAAGCCCGCTCTTTGGGATCCAGCTCTTCCCATCGATGAAATCGACGGTCAGGAACTGCTTGGCCTGCGCTGCAGTGAGCTGACGCGACCATTTCACCCGGCGACTGATCTCTGCCCCCGGGCCCGTGTTCTTGTACTCTCCGTAGAAGACCGTCATCTTCTTCGGCACGGTTTTCCCCCAAGTGTCCCATCCGGCGGGTTGGACGACCTCGCTCAGATACGTGTAAGCGAAGACAGTGCGCGCCGCCTTTCCCCACGGCCGGCCCAGGTAGACAAGGCCGTTGCCGTTCACTTTGCAGCGCAAGAAGACGAAACCAGTCGTCGACTTGGCGGTCCCTCTGTTCTGCGCGGTCAAGTAGCCGCCTTTGTCGATGACGTCAGCGAAAAGATCACTGTCGAGGAACATAGCCGTGCCATCTCCGAAGATGAAATCCACCGATCCCCGAATATAGCATTGCTTGAAGTAATGCCTCCCTTGAAGTGAGTACAGAGTATCTTGGTAGCCAATGAACCTGCAGTTGTAGAAGGCTGCCTGATCGCCTGTGATCCGGATGGCCACAGCCTGCCCGGTGACACTGGATGTGTCTGGGCGTGGGGCGCCATTGGCGAATTCGATGTCTTCAGCGCTGAAGAAATTGCCTGTCACCGAGACGCTCGCCGACGCCGATGTGCTTCCTGTCGCGGCGTTCGTATCGCTGTAAGTCAGCGTCGTGAGATACGGCCCCTCCCCTCGAAGGGTCACGTAGGCTTTGTCAACCAGTACCTTCTCCACGTACGTCCCCCGCTTCACGAACACTACGTACCTCTTGTTGCCGGGGGCGTTGTTCACCGCGGCTTGGACGGTCGTGAATTGGCCAGAACCGTCTTTAGCGACAACAGCGTCGACTCCAGGGGTGGAGGACGAAGAAGAAGAAGGAGGAGGAGAAGAAGAAGAAGGAGGAGGAGGAGGAGGAGGAGGTCCGGCATTCCCGGAAGAGTCGGGAGCGTTCGAGGTGCCAGTGGTATTGCCAGGTGCAGGAGAGGGAGATGAAGCCGACTGCTGAAGCTCCCTCCTCCCTCCCAAGGGAGAAGAAGGATGAGGAGGAGCGAGGAGCTGATCACCATCAAGAGCGGGCTCAACAGTAAGTAGGCTTCTACTTCTTCTTCTTCTTCTCCGCCTCCCCCCCCCAGTCATTACGACCTGTCCTCCTGCTCCGCGTCCGACTGCTACGACTCCCGGCGTGGCGCTCGTCACACCTGTGTCGCCCGGGCCTCCGAATAACGCCAGGATTTGCGGAGGCACAGGTGGACTACTCGTCGATCGATCTTGGCTTAGCCACGAGTCGAACAAGGTCACCTCGTCCGGCGATGGCGGACTGTAAGCGGACACCAGTTCAGCTTCTTCAGCGGTTAGTGGTGATGCGGATATGACAGCCGTTGTTTGCGCCGACACTCTCCACGACTTGCTATCCATCGCTAGAAGCGATAACCAAACAGCTGTCGCCGTTATCGCCCACACACGGAGCCTAGACAGCGCCATCCTCTCCTGATCGTTGCCGCTCCCACCAACCGCCCCGCCCTGTCTGAGAAAGCGATGAAAAAACTCTCTCTCTCTCTCTCTCTCTCTCTCTCTCTCTCTCTCTCTCTCTCTCTCTCTCTCTCTCTCTCTCTCTCTCTCTCTCTCTCTCTCCAGGAAGCACACATCGAGACCACACATGCAGAAGGAGGACTCGTGAACAACTCGTAAGCGAAAGAGGAAGAGAGGTGGAGTATAAGAAGGAGCTTGAGGGGAAGGCAGAACTGGTCGGGAACAAGGAACGTGCTGTTGCAATCAAGGACAAGGCTCTCGCTCACCGATGACTTACTGGCCGACACTGTTGAAGCCTGTTCCTCCTCCTCCAGTCCCAGTTAGCTAAGACGTTAATACATGCTATCGGTGTTATACACGCACACACAGAACAGTGCATGCACGGCCGCACACGCATCCATACACACAAACTCAGCACCACACACACACACACACACACAAACAGAGTTGTATTGTAATATGTGTGTGTGTGTGTGTGTGTGTGTGTGTGTGTGTGTGTGTGTGTGTGAGAGAGAGAGAGAGGGAGAGAGAGAGAGAGAGAGAGACAGAGAGAGAGAGAGAGCTGACCGACTAAGACCTGAGCCGGACCGTACCAAGCCATGATTAGATTCGCCTCTACAGTGGACATAGTTCCTCGTCTTACCGCACAACAGTTGAAATGCATGTTGACCACGTTCTCATCCTTATGCATTCGACATGTGAGATGCGTTCGAATGTAACAGTCTAAGTGCGTGTCATATGTGGTGCAGTGGAGCGAGGCCCAAAGAAGAAAAGTGATGTTCTTTTTCCAATTTCATTTTATTATTATTATTTTTTACCCTGAAAGCTTACTGAGGCTAGGAATGTCCCCTGCGTGTCCCTGATACTCTTTTTTTCTTTAAAAAACCCTTGCATTCACCCATGAGCAAACAATCCCCAGGGGGGAGATCCCACTAGCAAAGAGGATTGGATGGAACATCTGAATCTGGATGCGTTGTAGCCACAAATGCAGAAAAGCAGCTCGATCTCGCGTTTGTGCACCTTTCCGCAATCGCGTCCAGATTCGAGCGTTCAATCCAATCCTCTTTGCTAGTGGGAGCTCGCCCCAGGTGAGTTACCACTGTCGAAATACAGACCCAAGAAGAAAAGGAAAAAAAAAAAAAAGAAAAAAAAAAAAAGACAGGACCATGTTCGAGTCTAGATGCAATCAGATGTCATGAGTGGCGTGGAACAGTGTCGGGGTCTTAGACGTCGGCGATCTGGTCTGTAGATCTATTATTGGAAACATGAAGCCGATCATAATCATTGGCATGCTCATTCTTAGCTTACATAGAGTCATAGGGCGTCGTTCGACACTCCTCGGGGCATCCTCGTGCTCCGAGGATGAATCCTCGGAAAAGTTTAGGTTTTTTGTCGTCTTCGTTCCACTCATCCTCGGAGCATCGGTTTTTTTTTTTTTTTTTTTTTTTTTTTTTTTTTTTTAAGAAGAAGAGTTTTATTTCCAAAAGCGAAAAAGGAGGCAGGGTCTGGTCCTTGTCCTCTACAACACCCTGGGCTTTTCAAAAAAAAAAAAGGAGGCCGGGAAAACCCCCACATAACAACCCGGAGGAAAAACTGGGGCCATTACCCAGCTTGGGCTAGCTGGAAACCGGGTCCAGCGTCCCATAAAACTCACTTCTATGTGGAACCAAAGAGAGAAACTGGACTAACCAAAAGACTGAACTGCAAGACAAGGATTAAGAAGAGCCAAGAAAGTAAGACTAATCTACCATGAGGAAAGGACATTCCTCAAAAAATCCTAGCCTGTCTGGGAGGCTTACCCAGATTCCCTTTAAAGATATTACAGAAACAGCACACAAATGAAAATGCACAATCCTGGCATTAGTATCCTGCCGACCTAACAGTCGGCCCAGTGTGACTCTTGTGCAGCATGAGTACCCTATCGGGCATACAGCGGCCCTAGGGACAACCAAGTAGTGATCTTAGGGGAACCCTTCTCATTCCGTTCAACCACGCATCGGTTTGAGGACTCATCCTCGGAGCAATGTCAGAAAAATAGAAGGGGAAAAAAAAGGAAAAAAGTTGTGCTTCAGGCTTTCAGCCAATAGGGTGCCGCCACGATCAGAATTCTCGGTTGTGTCGTCTCTCTACGTGCATGCCCTCTCCTCTCCGTGAAACAGGGCTCCTCGGGCCCCAAAGGACCTCGCGAGGTCCTTTGGAGCCGGAGAAGATTTGGCTGGGAAATCCTCGGAGCCCAAGGATTTGTCGTCGGAGTGTTTTCACATTTTCATTTCCGATTTCATCTCCGAGGACAGGTGGAACGACGACGGAATCCTCGGAATCGCGTCCCGAGGAGTGTCAAACGACGCCCATAGACATAGCAGCAGATCCAGCGGCCTAGCTCAGTTGGTAAGGCACGCTAGTGGCATTCAGGAGGTCTTAGGTTCAATCCCCATTGGGCTAATGTACCTCCTGGGCAAGCTGAGTGCCCGCCACCTAGAGATATGTCGTTGGTCCCCCCGGGTGGCATTGAGCAGAGACTGCTGAGGTTCATAGGGGGAGGGGACCGGAGGAGAGGCACAGTGACTGGCCCATCGAAGAAGCTCGGTCCTGATGCTACCGGCTGACCCCTGGCCGGTATCGCCCGCCTGCTGTAGCAGGTATCGCAGCTGCTGGTGGGTGCAGCTCCCGCATGTTCCCTCGTTGGAGGCTTGAGCACTGATGTGGCTGCTACGGGGTTTCCCGTAATACTATAATCACAATAAAAAAAAGGCCTGAATGGCCGTCCTGTCCAGATTTGACAGGTAATTGAATTCG